GAGTTTGTTTTTGGTTTGGGAGCTTGTATGATTTCTCAGTGTGTAGGTCCAAATTGCTTTCTATGTGAAAACATGGGTTGAAAAAGCAGGTGGTTGGCAGAAGACCTGAGCTTGGCAGGAGCTCTGAGACTCGAGCTGCCATGGCTGATGGAGATGGTGTACGCTATGTTACCTCCAGGGTCGCATGTGGGAGCAAGTGGGAAAGGAACATCGAGTGCGCTCCACCCCGCACGCTGCTGGGCCAAAGAGGAGCAGAAGGACCCCAACCTACTCTGACCTCTCTTCTTTTTTTCTCTAGTGTCAGTAAACAACATTCTCTATTTTTCATGCTTATTCCTCAGCATAGCAATATTCTTTAAAAGACCAGATGCAGTAGCAACCTCTGTTACAAATAGGCAAACATGTATAATAATTTGCTTCATGACACTCAATCTGGCAAGCCACCGTAAATACTCTGGCTCAGTGCAAAGATGAAGCTGACACTAGGACACATATTTACAAAAGTATTGTGCAGAAGAGAAAAAAAAAAAAGTGTTCATTGGTATAATGAGAAACATTTGGGCTTCCACGACTAAATGAGTGCTGTCAGGCAGCCAGAGTGTAATCTTCTGATCCATGGTGTCCCTTCATACAGATGGGAGATTGTAATCGAATGTAGGGCAGGAAAATGTCAATGTATGGAGACATCCTTATTCTAGACACTTAATTTGGCTCTCCCTCTGAGGAACTTGTAGCACAACTCAAGTCAGTGTAAGAAGGAGCCACATGCTCTCTTCATTTAGAAATTCTCACAGAATTGAACAGGAACCCTGTGTACCGAGAGCTCCCATGATGCAGAGATGTTCCTCCTCCTCCTGAGGCATTACAGATTGCTTTATTTGTAGTTTCAATTGGGGTTATGTTATTGAACAGGAGACGAGTTATTTCTGATTCTCACTTTCAGTGGCACTCTACTTAAACTCCTCTTGCAGTCGGACCTGGAAATGCCGCTTCATTGCCCCTACTAAGCAGCAGTCCTTTCAGAAAACGTGCTGGTCACTGAATGCATGATTTTTCAAAAGTAACAGCACTGACTTTGGAGACAGAGCGTGTCTGAGAAGTCTTGTAAATGTTTACAAACAGTACTTAAACATAACACTCCCACTGCAATATGTTATGCCAGCCATAAAGAGCATTTAAGCATAGCACTCCCCCAGCAATATGTTGTGCTAGGCACAACTCACAGACAAGGGAAACTTTCCGAGATGGTCGATAACTGCAGGTGTCTCCAGGTGAGGCAGCTGACTTCAGAGATGCCAGTGCCCTGAAATGCTCTGCCTTCACGGAACGCACAGGAGGGCACTGAAGACACTGGTTGGTGAAGTTCCCTGTGTGTACAGCTGGGCATCAGGAATGGTGGCCTTCCAAATCAGAAGCTACTCTTAAAATTTGACTTCTCCAACTTGCTCAGTAAATGGAAAGCAGAACCAGGAAAATAACGCAGGAGCCCTGACTCTGGCGGTAATTTCCTGTCACAATTGCTGGACTAAACTTCTGATTTATTTTTATTTTAACTTTTCAGCTGTCACAGCTCCCTCCTCAGTCAGTGACTTTAATTAGTTTGCTGGCAAAGCTACAACATTCTCTGCAGGTGTTTTGCCATTCTGCTTTATGGATGTTTATACTTTGCCCTAACAGATATTATTTTCCTTTCTATATCTTTAGTTTCCCAAACTGTACCCCACAGGGAATTTGGATTCTCAAACAAACAAGCTCATTTTCTCTAGTGAGAAACATCATTAGGAAGCACTGACAGCAGCAAAGGCAACTCTCCAACTCCCTCCATCCTTCAGGCCCAAACAAGACAGAAATTTGACAGTATTTGGTGGAAGGCAAAACCTGAGTGAGATACACTAATGGCCTGTGAGGTCTGAGGCTGGGTGTGTTTTTTTTTCTTTTTCTTTTTTTTTTTTATGTCTGTGTCTTCAGCAGCAGCACAGTTGAATTGCATAAACATTTCCAAGAAACAGCCAACAGCCTGCTCCTTGGCACAGGAGCAGCCAGCCCTGCCTGGCAGGATGCTCAAGCACCCGGTCGCTCTGTGACAGAGGTGTCTCAGTGTTCATCCAGCTGGAGAGCCAGAACTGTTTTCACCAAGGGTTTTTCTTAACCGAGAGCCAAAAAAGAGCAAGACTACACATTTTGTCTTTTAGTATTAACCTACAGACTCTTATTTTACAGAATGTGGCGTTTACCTTGTTTAAACCATTAAACTCCTATTACCTCTCCACGCTGGCTTGATTTGAACGGTGTTTAATAGTAAAACTTGGTTGGCGTTTAGGTCCTGCAATTCCCTCACTGAGCATTATCTTTTCTTACTCTTTCTGCAGATATAGATTTATTTTTGTTCCAAGTTAACCTGGCGAAGTTATGCCCCTATTCATAATGGCAAAATATTTTGTTGTCACCATGTTAACATAGGTTGTTCTGTTGCCTTTAGGCCCAGGTAGTCTTTGGCCTGGATTCTACCCTTGGCTGCAAAAGCTTGGTGGAACCTCCGTCTTACCGTTTTTGAAATCGTGCTCAAACTAGGTTACAAACTGTAACGTGAACAAGGTGTTTGTTTTCAGCATTCTCTTTATCTAGGTTGCTGACAATTTTATGTTTTAAACGCCGATCTGACAGACTTACTCTGTAAAACCCCAGCACCCAGCATTTCTCCTGCTATGTGACTGTATGGCTCTCTGACAGCTGTATGTATCTTCACTCAGACATTGCAAAGATTATTTAATGCAACCAGGGTAGGTAGGCCTTTGGGAATGATCAAAACCAAACAGCTTTTTGAGAAGAAGCAGAAACTGGCTATTACTTGAAGTATGTCTCAACGTCCAGATCTACACCTATGTAACAGATTCCTCAAGCTGCTTTGACTTTGGAGATCAGCAAGGGACCAGCAGAAGGGAGACCCTTCTTTCCCCAAGGTGCCTCTGGGGTGGGAGCTATGGCAGCCCAGAGCCCCTTCTCTCCTCGTGGCCTTCAGCACAAATTGAAGCCAGTCTTGGACTGGTGTCGTTAGTGCTGAGGCTGGAGGGGACTCCCTCTGGCCTTGAATTCGGGAAGCAGCATGGATTCTGTAAAAGCCCTTGCCAGGTCCTCTGTCCACTAGCAGTTAGCCAAGTGAAAGGACCTTGTCCTCCAATTCAGGAGACAGTGATACATCACCTTGTTCTTCCAGACAAATGCTAAGACAAACTAAATCACCTTTTCAGGTTTACCTAGCCAGTGCACGTGTTTGCCTTAGCTAGATCCAACGTATGTACAAAGCCAGTATTTTTTTGTGTGGCATAGCAACAAAAATTACATTGATATTCCATCCTTCACTGACACCCAGCTGCCTCTATTTTTCATCCTCTTCCTTTCCTCAGCCAAAACCACAAATTGGCCATAATAAGATTTTAAAAGTATTTAAGTTGAGCTTTTCTGCTGGTAACTGGCCAGCCAAGCTCTCTCACAACCTATTGGATTGTGCATCTCGCAGAGGAATCTGCCAAATCACTTGGCAGTTACAGACGTAATGAAGGACACTGCTCTCCCCAGACAATTCTCTCAAAGTATCAGTTTGTGGAGTCAGCAAAACCAAAACACCCCCTCCCCCCCGCCATGCCCTGCTTAAAACTAGATTCATTATAAACAACAATGGGCAGAGAGTTCCTTCAAAGTGAAATGCGGAGGAACAATGTATTTAATGCTGCTCT